ATATAAATTGTATTATAGCATCTGCTGGTTTGTGATACACTAGGACAAGGACTGAACACCCCTGAAATAAATCCTTCATGCAATGCCCGTTGTTGTATTTAACTTCCTTTTCTCTGTTCCCCTGAATTGTTTCATATTGCAAAAATGCTTCTGCCCACTGCTCTGAAGTTCCTTCTGCAAATAAACTTTAATTCACTCCTTTTCTGGAAGTAGTCCACAAAGAGTAGAAAGAAACCCCACCATGAGAGCAATTCTCTGTAGCATAATAATTCAGGAGAAGCCCTCTGTGTTGCTTAGGTCATGGATAGACCAGTAAATGGAATGGAAAAGGAATAGCAGGACAATATCAGTCATTTAAAGAGTTCGTAGTGGAAAAGAGGCTGCCTACCAGATGTAAACAGGGAAGCAGCTAAACTTAAATATAGCTGTATATTTCTTTAAAACTGAGATTAAACAATATATTTATGTTTTTGTCTTCCTGAATATGAACTTTGTCAGATAAGAGTCCATTTCATACTATAATAGAAAACAGTCAACAATAATACCTCCCATGTCTTTTACAGAGAGTGATTTTTAAGTTTGTATTTTCTCTATATGTTCACATGGGTTTTCTTCAGGTGCTGCATGTTTCCTCCCATAGTCCCAAAACATGCTGGTAGTTTAATTGGCTTCTGGGAAATTTGGACCAGATGTGAACATTTGCATGTTTGTATCTGTGTGTTCCCTGAGATGAACTGGCATCACATCCAGGGTGTATCCTACTCTAAGCCAACAGGCTCTGGCTGTCCCTTGGTCTTGAATTGGAAAAAGTGGTTAGAGAATGGATGGATGATATTTAAAGTGTCCTTGGGACTCAAAACACATATGCATGATCCTTTCTTCTCATGCTTTCAAAAGGGTAAAAAATAGGTTGAAATATCCTTTAAAGCCTTTCCAAATAGATATATACTGAGCTTAAAAAAGAAACTTACAACTCTCTGCATAGCGACCATTGACAGATCAATCAGTGCCTGCTCATAGTAATAAATGGCAATTGTTTTTGTCCTTACCGGTTTTTGACTCCCTGCTACTGTACTCGACCTCGACCTTACCTCTTGTTTTGGTTTATCTGTCCTCTCGGATCCCTTTCCTTCGCCTGACCCGACTCCACCGGAGACTGCTACGCATAGGGTCCAACTACTTATGTCTGCTATGGCGTGACAGAACCTGCAACTACTGTAGGTGCAAAACATGCATTGCAGATGTACAGTTTGATTTTCTTTAACATTCACATTAGACCCCCTATAGATCAACAATATTAATGACAATTTTTAATCAGCATTGTGAATTGCTTAATGAAAATCTGAGTCATGAAATAAAATGTTGTAATTTTCCTGATACCTTTGTGGATGTGTTGCAGTGATAAATACTCCATACACAATATTCGTCAATATACAGTCATTGTATAGTCTTACTGCCTTTCAAGGTGAAAGAATATGAAGTTCCAAACTCATCTATTGAGAAGATAGTTTACAAATGTCTGTTTCTTAATCTAAAATGTGAAATGTAAGATTTTTTTATGATTATGTTGTCTTTAAAAGATGGAGACAACACAATAAACTACTAACTATGATAGCTCACAAATATATACTATAACCTAGATAATAATTAAGAATTCTAGGCCACTTTCAATTTAGCAAGAAAAAAAAGAGTTCTGATGTCAGTGGGAAAGCATAGAGGACATTTAATCTGGTGATTATTGGATTTGATTAATGGTACCATGTGCTCTTACGAAACTGTAGAAAAGTGTATATATAAGCATATTTCTTTGATTGCAACTGATTAAAGACATAATTATGTCACCATATACATCGTCACAGCAAAGCAGTTTTGTAAAAAGTGAAATCTATATACAGTACTTATATTTACTCTTTGATTCTGTGCCAACCTGGTACCATTAACCAAGTGCCAAAGCCTACTCTTTTGGAAACTTTCCTGCTAAAAGGAAAAGTGTTAAGAAAAATTCTAAATGTTGTTCTTGCCAGGAATCCTTCACAAACAATCATAATCGCCATCAAAGTAAACTGCTGGAAAATGCAGGCTTTTGATGCTAAAATTATAGATTCATGGGAGTTTGAGATTAATGAGAAATGACACATTCAAATGGTTTTTCCTGTGTATTTCACTTTTTTCTTGTTCTTAGTTATCACAAATTCATCCACTTTTGCCTGTGCATTTTAGAACACCCACTGAGATGGAGGTAGCTGGAGGTCACTAGCATTACCTATTCTACTGATGATAAAGTGTGCTTGTAGTTTACATTCTTTAGGAAGGTTTTCACTTGCCTGTTGCTCCATGATATACAAACTTATCATTTCTATTAAAACTGATAAGAGGAAGTCACGCCCCTTTTCAGCTTAAGGTTATAAAAAAGAGAAGACTAAAGTTAGCATATTTAGTTTAGAAAAATAGCTAAATAGACATTTTGTTTTACTTTAAAGAGATTATATTAAGTTAATCCAATTTGCCCTAAAATACAATTTAACACATAAATAAAAAGGAACAAGTAATAGGTTTATTCCATGCTGAAAAAAAGAAGAAAGAAAACACAACGTTTCAGATGTGGAGCCTTCTTCAGGTGTTCACACCTTACACCTGAAGAAGGCTCCACAGCCGAAATGTTGTGTTTTCTTTCTTATTTTTTTTCAGCATGAAATAAACCTATTACTTGTTCCTTTGCAGTCTACGCATGCTGACGCAGCTACCCACCTGATGTAAATAAAAAGTTTAACATAAAAAGTGGTTAAATGTTGTTTTTTATAACATACCACACTCTTACGGGATTACATTTTGGAAATAAGATTTAAACTCAATACTTTTGTAGCTACAGGAGTAAAAACAAAACGTTTGCCTTACTGTCTGGCACTGAAGAGCAGGGACCAGACATTTCTAATCACAAGAATGCATTGAGTGTTGCTGCTGGTCTTTGGCACTGCAAGATGTCTCATATCTTTTTTGCATTTTCCTAACTAATGTTGACAGGATGAATGAAAGCTCTGGTGTTATTACTGAATGGTTGCTGTGAAGTGTGATCTCTGCCAGCTTCCAGGGACATGGCTTCAGAATGGAGACACTGTACAAGTTACAGCAATGTCTTGTCTTCAAAACCAGATTTGTGAGTAATCACTGAACAGCTTTTCTCACAGAAGTGTTAGTTTGCAAATCTGATGACAAATTCACAAGAATCTAATAACACCTATTCAAGTGTTGACTGTCACAGATGTAACTAACACACACAACTACTATTGATTTATATTGTTCTATAAAAGTTTCCTTCTGTTTATTATATGATACTCTATTTAACTTGAGACTAAACTGTGGAGGAACAGGATAATACTATGGGACTAACAGAGAGCGTTGTGTTTATACTAGACTTTTAAAACAGTGAAATTTACAATGTACAGTATCCTATTGCAGGCTGTGAAATCAGTTATGATTTATATTAATTACAATTTACGGTATTTTATTAAGTGTGTCTTGTGTTTATGGAATACTGGTTTAAAAAGTGCATGCTTGACATACGGATGACTGGATTTAGTGGATTAAATGTACTGGCACTATTTTGTGATACAAGATTATTATTATTAAACATGATCTGACAAATCCTTTTAGCAAGAAATACAATATGTTTACGTTTACATTTTCATTACAAATGAGACACTTTTTCCCCCCCTCTGTTAAGTAAATTTGAGTCTCTCCAGACAGCAACAATCTACTTGAGGATAGAATTGCATTCAGAGGAACAATTTCCATTTGTCCAGATGAGATTTTTTTTTACTTCATACCCTAAAGGTAAAAGTTTAAACCACAATTGCTTTCATAGTTGGAATTTAGCCTTTTCATTGAACGTCTAACAGTGATTCATCCCTATTTTCGATTGACAGGGGTGCAGTATTAAAGCTGAACATGAAAAGCTGAGAACTGAGAGGTTACATTCCAGGAGGTGCTACCGTGGCAGTTAAGTCTTCACAGACAACAACTGAAATTAAATTCCTTGGAGGCTGCACACTCCAGCTAAGACACAAGAATAAAAGTCAAAAGTGAGAGAACACCCCTGTCATCCTTGCTCATCAATCAGGATTGTTTTCTTTGGTTATGGGCAGAACGACGTATTGTAGAAAACTGCTTCTGCTTGTATGATGGCCCTGCGCAGAAGTCCAATTTTTCCAGTTTTATAAAGATAACGTTCTTGTTCATGATGTGACTTGTCGTGTTAAGATTGCTTTGAGCCAAATGATAATAAAGATTATTAAAATTCCAGAAAGAAAAGCCTAGACAAGGTAAATAAACGTGTGCCTATGCGTCAGTAGAGTTTTTTTTTAAAAAACTTTTATCACATAATTACATTTTGTGCTGACACGGGATTACTACCACGTTTTTTATGTCAAGAACAGCTAATAATTATAATGAGTTGACTGATAATGAGGGAAATGTGTTACATCATGTTTACATTTGTACTTCTTGGCGTTTCCCTTGGCAGATCTAAGAGCTCACGAAGCCTGGATGACATTTATATCGTAAAGAAAGTTAATCGTTTTTTAAGTATCTGCCCAAAATGTAGTTATTATGCTTTAGGTGCAGAAATAAGAATACTGTTCAAATATTACTACTTTTTCAAAACGTTCCAAGAAGTTTAAATCTTTGTGTCTAAAGATAGCGATCACCCACAGCGCTTTTGCCTTTTAATGATACTAATATCTAGTGTTTTAAAGTCAGATGGAAGGAATCTTGCTGCAATTTTTCTTTTTTAAAATAATTCTTAACCACACATTAATTTCCTGTGAAACTTTGCTACCGCTGAGACGTGGAAAAAAAAAAACTTTATTCGCTTCGGAATCAAAGAAGAAACAAAGCATCTCAGTGCCGGTGTAGCTGGCAGGGACTTCAGTCCTTCTGATGACTTGAACTCTGCACGACTACATCTCGAATGCCCGGTACAAGCTCCTCCCAACTGTATAACCCTGTCACTATATATTAGAGCTCCATCATTCACTTTACCTTCAACCCCTAGAAACCTGGCTGGAGTTTGAAAGGCACATAACTAAGGAAAAGAACAAAAATGAAGCATCTTCTCTTGTTTACCTTGGCTCTATGCATTGTTGCACTAATTTCTGCAGCGAAGTCTCCTTACCAACAAGTTCTTCAGCACAGCAGAATCAGAGGCAGACAGCATGGGTATGAAGATTCTTCATCTTCTGTATTACTGTATATTTGCATGCATATGCAGTACACGAATATATAACTACTACAGATTCGCGTATGTACGTTTTATATAGTTGAATTGCAATAATCCTTGCTCATCAATCGTGATCAAATCACGTTTTGTGACATACGTATTTCTAGTACTTATTATTCGAAAAGGTAATAAAGCTCAATTACAATCATTTAATAAGATGTATCTGAATTGCCCAGCAATAAATTATGAAAAGACTGATTGCAATTTTTGAATTTGTTAATCGCAGTCCAAATGTATGTGCAATGCAGAAGATTCAAGGAACCAACAAAAAATACTTCACCAACTGCAAGCAGTGGTACCACCGCAAAGTCTGTGGAAAGCCAACGTGAGTAGTTTTTTTTCTTTCTCTTCTCCCGGTTAAATCGTTTTTTAAATGTTTTTTTTTCTGATCTGAGGTACGTTTGTTATATAAAATACTTAACAGATGTACTGATGATTGATTGAAGCTGCACACATTTTAAGGTTGTATTTCATAGTAACCAATAATTTCTTCTGCGTTTCACTACAATGTTAATGGTTAGGTTTTCTAAAAATGAAGAATTAAAATATGACTATAATACATTAATACATAATACAGAAATACAGGAGCTTTCTCCACGTTACGTGGAATGAAACGTTTCATGCAGATAAAGTGCTGTCACTGGTGAAAAAATATAAAGGTTTCTGAAAGAACCCGAAACTGAACAAAACATCCTGAAGAGCTTCACGTTTTACCACAGTCGAAAGAAATGTGTTTAAGGAATATAAAAAAGTCTACAAACGAGAGGAGGTCATATGCTTACTTGATTTCTAGTAGCTAAGTGATCTGACGAACCCATCCAGGTGTTTTCTTGAAAAAAGCCGATGTATCAGCTTTAACAGCTGTAGGTGGTTTGTTCCAAACTTAAAAAAAAAAGAGAATAGCTTGTTCCAGTTTTACTGTTCTAAATCCACTTCATTGGGTGGACCTTGCCAATCCATAATCAGTGCCCTAGAGGACTTTGAATACTTGAACCATATCCACTTATAGTCCTCTTTGTTAAATACTTAAAATGATTCGGTTCTTTTAGTCTGTCAGAGAAGGACATTCCTTAAAACCTGGGAATGTGTCTGGCTGCTTTTCTCTGGACTGATTCCAAAGCAGCACTATATTGCTTGTATCTGATGACCACAGTTGTACACAATATTCTGAATTGGGTATTTCTTTAGAGCAAAATTCTACATTTGGCTGAGATATGTGATTTACACGCGCAATGCACATAACATCCCTTCATTTAAATTCTGCAGTTTTAACTGTATATTCTAACATTCTGAGTGCCTTTTTTGTTTTACAGTATGTTGTTTCACTAAAGTATAATGAACAAGAAGGGACATCTGTGTTTTTTCCATTCAGTTCCATTGCAAATCTTTGTTCATGCTAATCATTGATTGTCGAAGCGATATTCAGCACTTGGATCAATTCATCAATTTAGAAGCAGTTTTTGAATTAGATTATTGGAAGGCCTAAAGTCCTGTAATGGAATAAAATAGATGAGCCAAGGTTATCTGTTTCTGGTTTGGAAGATGTAAATGATGGGTAAACAGAAACATCTAAGTCTTTTTTATGAGCACAGTTTTCTAGTTCAGTATTTCTATTTGTTGTTTTTATTACCTCCATGTAATCTGCACTGGTCTACATTAAATGACATCTGCCATGTTTGTCCAGTCTTGTTGTCTAAATCTTTTTTTTTTTACTTCCTTTGCTGCCTCTGTAATGTATTCTAATCCTCCTATTCTACTATCATTCAACTAGTTTACTCACTATACTAGAATATTTTCCCTTTTTTGATAAATTGTTACATACAGAATTCTCAAAGGCTAATCTTGAGGTTTGCATTTACCTAATCCTATAAGGCAGTATGCTTATTTTCTATGTGTATCAAATATTTTTTCCCCAATGAGGGTTTGTGCTACTGCAAGAGATTATCTCACATTTTAGCTAGAAGTCATAATTTTTTTAAGCTGTCAGGGTGAGATAGTAGAGTTTACCATACATCTGAGATATTACTTGAATATAAAAGGCATCTCTGTCTTAAATGGATTGAGCATGCTTTTTTACAAACTGCACAGGAAGTTATTACATTTGATTAAGTTAATGACAGTGCCCCTTTTCAACTTAAAACCACCAAAACATTAAGTTGAAAATGGATATTAATCACACTAAACAGTGGCTTCAGTTGTAAGGATCAGATAATTCAAATTCTTTCCTTTTACTGTAATCCAAGTAATTTGGTTGTAAGCCATTATGGTCAGCTAGCAGCTAACCATAATGACTTAGTATTAAAGGTATGATCTCATTAAAAAATTACATTTATTTCAATAATGTTCAGATTACATGACTTTAGAACAAGGTGATTACTAGACATCCTTTAAAAAATGGAGCACATTTTTCAGCAGTCAGCAGATAGTTTGCAGACCAATTTGAAACAGAAAGCTGATTTTGTACCTTATGGTTTTACAAAGGGCTTCCCTTATGCAGTATGTGTCCTAATTAGTCTGCTCATGCAGAATCTGTTTAAACTGTTACTATTCATTCTCCATCTTTTTCTTACATGTCCTGCTTTATTTCTCTTCAGCTCCTTAAAGCATTCCTTTAGTCTACTATCTTGAAGTTGTAAACTTTTGATTTGAACTCTCCTTGTAGAGGTTTGAAATATCAAGTATCAAGAGCAAGAAGTACACTTCAGAGTACACCAAAGTACTATGATCATAGGTTTCTAATAGGTCTCTCACCTTTGTCTGCTTCAATCTGTCTTAATACATAGATATGAACTATGAATCTACATATATATGAACTGTTTATGCTTTGGCAGCTGTATTGCCATCTTCTAACCTGATTTCATCAGCTATCAGAAGTTAAGCAAGGCTGGTCCTGTATTCTCATATGACCTTGTGAAAATCTTTTGATTGTGTTTGTGTTTACTTGGCCATTGGATACTTCATTTGAGAGGCAAAACTCAATAAAGTGTTACATTATTGTTATGATTGACATGCTTTGAAGAGATAAATAATTTAGTTCTTTAAATTGTTAAGGCCATGATCCTTTTAACAGAACTGTGTAGCGTGTTGTGTCTGATGTAATTTGTGTTGCTCGCTCATAAACAGTACCTTTTTAAGTTTCCAGCTAATGATTTCAAGAACTGGCCTGGCCTACACTGGCTTTCACAACTCTGGAAAAATTCTTAACCTGTGTCCCAGTGATTGATCTCACAGAAATGTTTTCCTTAGATGGGTTTCACAGCCCTCTAATCCACAAATTATTCTTCATTGCTGGAGGTTGTTCTTAGTTTTGCAATTGTTTTAACAAAAATAATCTGTGTGTGATTTTGACGCCAAATATGACCAGAAAACATCCAGCCATCCATTTTCTAGTGGCTTTCTCCAATACAGGGTAATGGGGGAGGCGGAGCCTATCCCAGCAAGCAAGGCAGGTTACACCCTGGATGGGACAACAGTCCATTGAATGGCACACACAAACACAGACACGCACACACTCACACCAGGGTAGGTTTTCCCAGAACATCCCAGTATGTCTTTGAACTATAGGAGGAAACCCACATGAACACGGGTAAAACATACAAACTTCCCACAAGCCCCAGTGCTCTGAGGCAGCAGTGCTAACCCCTGTGCCACCACAACTAATGCCAAGAAACAAATGACAAAAATGCTTATGAAAGTTTGACAATTTATTGTAGTTAAGCATGTAGCAGTAATTCTATTGGTGTGCAAAGGAACAAATGAAAGGTTTATTCCAGTACTGAAAAGAGAAGAATGGAAAAACAACGTTTCGACTGTGGAGCCTTCTTCGGGTGTGCACATATTTTATTGGTGTGGCACATTAAATCAGCACCTCATTGAATCCTGAGCATAATCACAGCCCTTCCAATGATTCAATGAACTGGTCTGAACATAATGTAAATTGTCTTCTTCTGTGTTAGTTTGTGAGTTCTACAATACCGCCTTTTTAAACTTTTTGTTGCCTTATTTTCCTGTGTAAAAGCTTCTTCGGGTACAGTATATGTCTGAACACATTTATATAAACAGACTTAGCAGAATACTATCCATTTACAGAAAGAACCCATTCTATTTAAATCCTATTTACCTTGGCTGCTTTAATAAATGAGAATAGTGTGATTTTATTTGACTGGGAATCCCTGCCCTTTTTCTTAGAGCCATAGGATTGGCACATTGTGGCCAAGAAAGAAAAAAAAGGTTTGCGTCACAGTTATAACTGGCACAAGA